TCCCCCTCTCCCATGTCCCCCCGGAACTGTCAGTCCCGTTGTTTTCTCCTCCAGATTGTTCATCCAGCCTGTCCTATCCAGACAGGCCTGATCTTGTGGATTTAAAAAAAGACTATATTCATTATAAATGAAGCCAGTTTCTATTTGGAAAAAATTACTGTGATTTATTTTCTTATTCTTTTCTTCAGAAAGGCATTTTATAAATAGGTTAAGTCCAGGGAAAGAAGGGTGCGGCAGACAAGCAGTTTGATAGTCATCGAATGGCGTAATTCACCACATACTTTTAAATAATTATCTCATTGGGAGCTCCAGCAACTACAGCCAATTCTGTATCCAATTCTCTCATAGCACAGTCCATAGTGTAATATTATTTGGGGGCATTTAGTTTCTTTATTAAGCGGATTGCTTAATAAAGTTGATTCCCACTTGTATCGAGCTTGTTAAGACAGAGTAGGTATTTCCCATATTATTTCCAAGTCTGTAATATTTCCTGAAACAGACCACCACATCTTCCTCCTGTGGATCAAGTGATGAACTTGAATCACCCACCTTTCCATCAGCTGCCAAGGGTTTCATTAGTGCATCACCATGGCTCCTTACTAGACCCCTGGAACAGTCTGTGGAAATCTATTTTGTATTTCTGGTGACTGCCATTGGATGGGCGCAGTACATTATGCAGTAGATTTTGCAACATATGGTGGTTGGATGAGAAATTAGCATGCTTGGGGGTAAGTGATAGGACAAAAGCCTCCAGCTATTAGTATAAAATCATTTTGCATAGCTTCGATCCCTTTTTAAAGCACCACAATATTTTCTATATTGAGTTTATCTCCTGGTCTGTCTGTCTGCAATGACTTGCACGGTAGGTCTGCGTTTGATGGTTTGAATTGTGGGAAAGGACAGGACGGATGTCAAGATCTAATGCACTTCGCAAAAGCTTGATTCGGACCGCTTCACATTCAGTTACGGATGGATCCCAACACAGTCCAAAGAGTTGCACTTTGCTCCTAAATGTTTCAAGGAAGAAAGACAACGTGGTTTATGCTTAAGCTCCCGAAACAAGGTTTACATTTTTTTTTTCCTGTTTTAGGTGTTTAATCCTTGAAGATGATGTTTGACTCGGCAGCCGTACCTGGAGAGGTGACCGCCTCTCTCCTAGTCCTGGTGATTGTTTTTGTCTTTATACGAGCACGAGGGAGCCAGGAGGGAAAGAAGATCCCTCCTCCTGGCCCATGGTCCTTCCCAATTATCGGAAATCTTCTCCAGCTCGGAGCCCATCCTTACTTGACATTTATGGAGATGAGGAAGAAATATGGTGACGTCTTCCTTATCAAACTGGGAGTGGTCCCTGTCTTGGTGGTGAATGGGATGGAAATGGTGAGGCGCGTGCTGGCCCGGGACGGAGAGCATTTTGCCGGCAGACCTGCCATGCACACCTTTTCTTTCCTGGCAGAAGGAAAAAGTTTTTCATTTTCAGTCAATTACGGAGAAAGTTGGAAACTTCATAAGAAAATCGCCTCGAATGCTTTAAGGACGTTCTCCAAAGCAGAGGCGAAGTCGTCCACCTGCTCCTGCCTGCTGGAGGAACACGTCGCAGAGGAAGTGGCTGTGCTGGTGAGAGCCTTTGCCGAACTGACTTCCACGAACGGTAGCTTTGAGCCCAGAAGCGTAATCACGTGCGCGGTGGCCAACGTTGTCTGTGCCCTTTGCTTTGGCAAGAGATACGAACACAGCGACGAGGAGTTCCTCAAGGTCGTTCAAACGAATGACGAGTTATTGAAGGCCTCCAGTGCGGCCAACCCTGCTGATTTCATACCGTGCTTCCGCTACCTTCCCTTACGGATCATAAATGCGCCCCGGGAATTTTACCAGGCGCTAAATCAGTTCATCACACGGCACGTGCAAGACCATCTCACTACCTATGATAAGGTAAGGGTTTTCATTCAGACTCAACATGGGCTTTGTCATGGGAAGAAGAAAGGCTATACCCACGTGGTGCATTCTTCCTTGGATGGGGCCAGAGTTAACCTTTGGCACTACCAGTATATGGGAGTGTAGTACCAGTAGGGCACTGTAGCGCCATCGTGCTCGGTTTTTCAGTAGGGCTCTGTGGTCTAAATAGAGTTTTGAGAACTCAGAAATTCCCCCAGTTCTGAGGGAATATGAATGAATTTTGAATTGGTAATTAACTGGTAAATGATGATTCAAATGTCTCCTCCGATCATAGTAGAGGGAGGGGAATTTCCCTGTTGTCACACAGAATGAACTGCACAATTTATTATGGCAGGCATAGTTAACACAAAATGTAATATCTTATTATTTGATCTCCCTTTTGACCCTTTTTAAAGCTGCTTCTGCTTTTAAATAAAGTGAAGGGGAAATACCTTTGGATTAAGCCTCTGGTGCATCCCCTGCTACCATGCGTCCGGGATGTGAGCAGCCTCGCTCTCCTGCAGAGGGCACTGGGGAGTCTATGGTGCAGATGCAGTCAGGTTCACATGTAGCACCCTGTCCTTTGATCTCCCTTATGATCTGTTTTAATTTGTTAGCTTTTATGATTTTCTGTTTTCATTTCATTTGAGGCTTTATCTGTTATACTTTGTAATTGTCGTGAGTTTTTTCTTTTTCAAATGTTTTTCTGTATATGAAATCCAGAATAGGCAAATCTATAAAGGAAATAACTGGATTAATGGTTTCTTGGAGGTATGACGGGGGGGGGAATGGGGAGCTAATAATGATGAGTACAAGAATGAAGAACAATTTCTAAAATGAATTGTGATGACAATTATCCAACCCTTTTTGATGTGATTGAACAATTGAATTGTGTGATAGAATTATATGCCATTAAAACTGCTACTAAATAAATAAGGCTTTAAAGGAAAATAATGGTGAATTCTGTAGCGTAGTTTTCTATTCTATACTCCTTTAAGATTAAATATGACTTTTTAAAAAACAAGAATTGTTTAAACAGTTAAAGTAATACACTTATTTATATTCATATGTATAGCAGGTTCACTTTAACTTACATGCAGCTGCACCTCCGCCTTCATGGGATTTGTATGTGATGTGAAATGTGGGCATAGAGTACTCATGCCACGATTTGTCTCCCCAGGGCCACATCCGAGACATCACTGATGCGCTGATTAATACGTGTCACAACAAGCATGCGGCTTCCAAAACAGCCACCTTAACTAATGATGAAATCATCAGCACTGTGAATGACCTATTTGGAGCTGGTATGTGACAATATGTACTAATACATAAGTAAAAAATTGTTTGCAATGTTTGGTTACAGTGTTTCCCAACTAAGGCCACTTTGGGTAGTTGAGTTCAGAATATAGACAATTGGCGTTCTGTTTTCTTTCTATGCCATTTGAAAATATTTATTTTCATCTTAAATGTAGAAATTTAAAAGCATAGTCTTCTTGTCATGGTGCACTAACATCCCTGGTCCATGTAACAATAGGCCTTATTTAATTTATTCAGTTAGGCAGTTAAGTATTTAGTTACCTACCCTTCATCTATCTAGCATCCATCTATCTATCATCTATCTCTCTCTCTAGTAGTTAGTAGACAGAATTTTTCCCCAGTCTAGGAGGCTGAAATCAGAGTTCCAGTGTGGGCGGAAGGCTTTCTCCCTTTGTCTCTTCAGCTTTTATCCTTTGGCTCCTTAATCATTGTCCTGTCACATCTATCTTTCCCATCTCTACTTGTTTGTGTGTTTAATCTCGTTTATATCTCGGGATAGCCTTTAAACGCATCTTACATGCTTACTCTCTCATTAACATAACAAAGAAAAAACACCATTCCCAAATGGGATTAGAATCACCAGTATAGGGGTATAATACATTTTGTATAATACATTTTGGGAGAGACACAATCCAATCCATCTCACAGGACCTAGTCTCATCTAGCTATTGGTTTTCTCTCCTGGAGTTGTTCAAAGAGAAATCTGTGAGTCTGATGGTCATTCTGTCCACCACACGGAGGGAGCCTGTAGAAAGAATCGCGTGAAGAGGCGGTGGGAAGTCAAATGCTCTAGCACCATTTCTTTAAACAAAATATTTCCCCAGTACTTCTACTGCTCTCTTGGTCATCGTTTAAATTTTCAGGACTGAGTAGCTCTTTTTTTCTAGACCCCTTATTCTGTTCCATTGATTTATTTGTTTCTCTTCTATCCCAAATCATATTGCTTTAATTACTGTAAATTTGTAAGTCTTTGTTGCTCTTTATAATTTAGATCTCCGTGCTTTAGTGTTCTTCAACTTGTATTGGCTATTCTTAACCTCGTTGTTTCCAAATAATATTTCAAAATAGCTTGTCACAGAGAAGCATCTATTTGTTTTCATAGGATTCAATTTCATCTATAAATCAATCTTTTTTGGTATATAGTCAAGAGAACACAGATTTCTATAGTTTTCAAAGATATGTAATTTTATCCCGACATTTATTTCCAGTTGCTTCCACTAAAATCTGCATTTATTTTAAAGCACCCCTGTTATGTCGTGGTTAAGGGAGTTAGCTGTTACTTGAAAAATTCGCTGTTTAATCCCACCAGCCGCTTTTCCAGAGGAAGAAGGGAAGTGTGCTTCTGTAAAGATCACGGCATTGGGAAGCCAGTGTGTACTTAGTTCTACAGGACTGCTCTGGAGCCAAATGACTCAATAGCACCGGCTATGGGTTTTGTTTTGTGTTGTTTTGTTTCTATCATGCTGTGCTTATTGGTCCAATTGTGCAGCTTGTTTTCGTTTCGACATTACGATGTCACCCATACCGAAGGGTGTATTCTTTAATCTCCATCAGTCAGAGGTTCAAGTCAATTTGCCAACCCTGTTTATTTATCACAAATTTGATGATGGTACTCTTAGCATTTTCTTCTAATTATAATCTGATGTTAAATACTTTTGTAGCATTCTTGAAGATTTTTAAATGAAGTTTCAATGTCACTGTGTACTGGTGATATGTGGGTGTGGTGAACACATCAAGATGGAAATATTTTCAGCTTGATTTGATGGCATATTCCCAAAAGATATTCCAAGAATATATAATACTGTCAATATCCTAAAAAACAACAAATGTGAAATTACGACAGATCACAAGAGTAATTAAGATACAAAAATAGAGCCAGCAGATGTGGCCAACCCAGTTACATTTCTTTAGCTAAAATGTGTGCAAAAAAAAGCATTCACTATAATGCATTTCTGTACAAAGCAATTATTCACTCAATAGAAATATAAAATTAAACTTTATTTAAAATCCATGTGTCTGCTACCTTAGCAGTGAGATAAATAAAATGCTATATAAGAATAAGACAGTGAGCTATAGCCATATGTTAAATAGATGCAATTTGCAACATTCAGTTCAACCAGTGCTTATATATTATTAGCATGTACATTTCCATGCTCCACGTTTCAAATTGCTCAGAGAGATTGTTTAATTTCCCATTAGTATTTAGTTGGACTTCCCCAAATTACTACTTATGACTTAGTACTATTTAGATAATGCGCCAAGATATATATTGTGTTGGGCTGAGTTCTCTAGAGAAACAAAATCAGTGATGCCTATAGTGTATGTTTTTAGAAAGAGATTTACATCAAGAAATGTCGCACACAGCTGTAGAAGTGGGTAAGTTCAATCCCCTTCAAGTGCATGGGTCAGATGTAAATAGAGGGTCCTCCTGACTCCTGTAGCTGCAGCGGCTGACAAGCAGGAAGCAGGAAGATGAAGCTAGAAGACCACAGCCTGGTCGATGCAGAGCTGAATAAATCTGAGGTCAGAAGTTGGGCAATCCGCTGATGGCTCCTGGGATCGCAGGCTATGGAACAGGAGGTCTGGGATCCAGATCCAGCAGAAGTGAGCTAGCTTCAGCACAGGGTCAATCTATACCAAGAGTAGGGCTTACCCTGAGTGACTCTTCCCTCATTTGCATCAAGGCTGTGGACGATTTTTCCCAACTGCTTGGCTGCTTCATAGAAGATACCATTATGGAGTTGACCACACTATGTTAGCTCATATTATGGGAGACTCCTGACCCAACCAGGTTGACACAAAACCTCACTCACAGATATTAATATTCATAACATTCATAACACTCACAGATATGAATATAATTTTGCTCAAGCCTTGATGTAAAAGCCAAATTTATGATGGTTAAAATCTGAATGTTGCCATCCATTTATCCTTTGTTTGCAGCAAAGAGAGTCAATATTGGTCTGTGTAGACATCCAGCCTTTCATGCCACACTGTGTTCTACTTTAGAAACCTTGATCTACACCTTGATTTGGACTGTTTACTTGTAGAGTAAGTCTTTGTTGCATTAAGTTAGTATTAGAATTTATTTCAGTTACAAATTGCAGCCCCTACTGGCTCACTAAAAAATGAAAAGATATGAAAACCTGGACTTGCAAAGAGCAGTTTGGAAAGGAGATTATTTATTTGAGTTAAACCTGAGTGCATTGCTTTTATATATTCAGGTAAAAAGTCTTTTAAAAAATCAATAAATGCTTACATCTCAATGCAGTGGAACCACAGAATTGAGTTCAGGTGCATTCTTTTCACCTACGTGGTCTCGGGGAACTTATTTTGCCACTCCAGGCTGCAAGTTTCTTACACTTAATGTAAGCGGAATTACGGTCCCAATTTCATAGGGTTTAAAATATTAAATGACAGTCCCATTAAGTGATCAATATTTAGTAAATATCTTCATTGTTGGAGCTGTTGTCATTGCCATCCTGAGAATTTGGGACTAAAATCTATAGAATTCAAAATGCATGTTTTTTGCTACTAGATTTGAGAGCATTTAGTAGAAAACACAAACACCACTAGCAATTTTGTTAGTGGATCATGAAAGTAGATTTATGATGTAAACAATGCAGTGTGTGAGTGAAGAAAAGAAGACAGAAAAATGGAAGATGGAACAGACTTGTTCTAGCAAAGCAGACATATTTTTCTGATGCTGGAAATCCAGCAGAAAGAGCTTTTTAATGGATATTTCTAGGTTTTAACTTTTCCAGAACCGCTCACTCTTTCTTTGATGTAATCTTAGAGTTGTCTTTGAGAAAAAAATGAAATTTGGTAAGTAAAATTTCTTGGTTTGTTACCTTTTCCATTAATGAAAATATCTAAACAGTAGTTACATAATCTCATAAATAAAGATATCCTTCTGAAAGGATGGATTTTTAGACTACATATGTACACTAGAAATGATTATTTCAAAAATGAATCTATTTACCATTCCATCTTGTGCCGTTATAAACTCCTGGTCTCTAGAGCTAGGTAAGTGCAAATGTATAAGTCTGTCTCTTGTGAGTTAAGTCATCTAGCACAAGGGCCAGCATGTGCTCTTGACTCATTATTTTCTCTCAAGTAAAATGAGCATAATTATATATACCTGACATGTCTGCCCTGGTGGTAATGCATAGTGGGCTATGAATTGAGCTGCTACCTACAAAGTCACAAGTTCAAATCCACCAATTACTCCTTAGGAGAAATTTGAGGCTGGCTGCTCCTGTAAGGATGTTAAGACCATAACAGGGCAGTTATACTCCGTCCTCTACAGTTACTATGAAATCAGAACCAGGTTGGCGGCAGTGAGATTGGTTTCAGTTTTCATGTACATGTTTGCATTATGATTTAGAGAAATTTATGTTAAATCCGACAACAGGATGAACATGTATTGGGCACGTATCATTATGGTTACTGATTAGATTATACTTGTTATTATCATCACAATAGCATTTATTATGTAGTACGATATTACCAACATTTTATAGCTAATAAATGACAGCAATGTTTTTAAAGGTGCTCTTGAATTGTGTGGACAGTTAAGGCAGCAGGCTGATAATCAAGATAGGGATTTCAAGTGCATACAAAAACAGCTCAAAAGAAAGACCTAATAATTCATGGGGGAAATCAGCCATTGAAAATCCTACTGAACGCAGTTCTCCTCTGACATACATGGGTCACCAGGAAGTGAAGATGACTCACTGGCAGATTTGTAAGTCGGCTCGAATGTGGATCCCTTCTTTTATTGCAGTTCTCTTACTTTATAGGAATCTTTAGATTCATTTCCCTTAATTCTTAGTACTTGACTATGAAGCAAATTGAGGATGCTGGTCATGCTGGCACATTTTCCTATCATTCTCTCATTTATTTTTCAGGGTTTGAAACAGTCTCAACATGTCTTTACTGGAGCTTTCTCTATCTGATACGTTTTCCAGAAATTCAAGTCAAGATTCAAGAGGAAATTGGTAAAAGACTTGGAGATAAGAATTGCAAATTCGGTCATCCACGCTTTCTTGTAATTCTCACTCCTTTTGCTAAATTAAAAAAATACTTTTCTTCCAGATAGAAACATTGGATTCAAACCCCCCAGATTTGAGGACAGGAAAATCTTACCCTACACGGAAGCTTTCATCAATGAAATTTTCCGCCACGTTTCCTTTCTTCCTTTCACCATTCCACACTGGTGAGCATATGGTTCTCCTTGTGGCTGGGAGGGCCCATGAGGAATCTTGGGATTCCCTGAAATACTGCAAGTGCCTTAGCACTCAGGTTAATTATTATTTAATGATTACTTTCAATCTGATTTTATTTTCTTTTGTACTCCATGTCATGGGATATTTGAATAAAACAAGACATTTGGGGGACATTTTTCACATTTGAAGTGTGATGTCATTAACTTTCATTTTGTATACATTATGAAGGGGAAGTTTTAAAAAAACATCATTTCATATGTGATTCCTTAGGGTTTTTTAAACTGTAAATTTTCAGGAGGGCAAACCGGCTCTTGGAGCAACTTGTGGGTTTGAACTGCCAGCCTTGTCGTTAGCAGCCTAACACTTAGCCAATGGCACTACTAGGGCTCCTTAGAGGAGAAAGCCTAAGGACATTCTGAGTAATTGATACATAAACCACAGTGTGTATTTGGCTAGAAAACGTCATCCACACCCACTTTCTTCCCTCCTATCGGTCATCTCAGCCTCCTGCAGGTGGAGCTTCGTTTTCAGTAGCCTGGAACTCAAGGTCACACAAACAGATTAACCAGAAACGCCATGTATAAATATTTGAAAATTTACTAAAACTTATACTAGAATCTCCAGCACACAAATATATGGCCAAAACATCAAACTCACTGCAATCAAGTCAGCGCTGACTCATACTGACCCCGTGTGTGTTTAGAGCCTGCGCCTGACAGAAAGCCCATTTTTCTCCCACAAAGCAGCTGGTGATATTGAACCGCCAACCATGCAGATTGCAACGGAACACATAACCACTACACCATGCCAACGTTGACTAAATAGGCCCTTTTTTAGTAACTCTATGTGCAGAAAAAAATTTTTTGATACAACTATTTTTATTTCATGCAAGGAAACTAGATAACACATTTCTCAGAATCTTTTCCTTCCCACCTTCATTGAGGGAAAGGGTCTCTGTTAACCACAAAGTCGATGGTTCACCCATCAGTCACTGCTCAGGAGAAAGGTTGTCGGCTCTTGTAAGAATTTAGTAGATGATCAACCTACAGCCAACCCACTGTCATCACGTTGACTTGGAGCGACTCGAGATGGTGTTTCTGAGCCTGTAAATCTTCCAGAGGAGACAGCCTCATCTTTCTCCCTCAGACTTGATGGCAGCGGTAATTAAAGAGGTCCGGGGTTGAATAAATCTCTCCTCAGAAAATTGGTGTAATTATTCAGAAGGTGGTCCTAGCGATATGTATTATCTTTGACTGGGTAAATCTGCTGTACAAGAACTTTTTAGAGTATTGCAAAGCAAGGATGTTGCTTTGAGGACTAAGGTGTGCTTGACTCAAGCCACCATATTTTCCATTGCCTCAGAGTCATGTGAAGGTTGGACATTGAATAAGGAAGACCAAAGCAGAATTTATGCATTTGACTTGTGTTGGAGGAGTGTTGGAGAAGATTATTGAAAGTACCATAGGCTGCTAAAAGGACAAACAAATCTGTCTGGGAAAAAATACAACCAGTTTTACATACTTTGGATACATTGTCAGGAGAGACCAGGTCATGACTGTAACATGGGCTCGAGCACAGGAAGCATTGTGGGGACTGTGTGGGACCATAGAGTGTGTCATCATGTTGTGCACAGAGTCACTATGGATTAGAACTGGCTTCCAGGCACCTAACAACCACAACTTGGCTGGGATCATCCAGTGGAACCGCCCACCTGCTGAGAAGAGCGGAGAATAAATAGCAATAGAATCAATCGCTCATGCTTTGTTTGCTCTCCTTGTTCACAAACTCTACCTATCCATTCACGGTGACCCTGCAAGATGCTTTATTGAGTATTTCTGGTTCAAATAAATCTTGAACCAGATCAATCAGATTAAGCTTTAACTTAAGTTTAATTTTAAAAGTCTTTCTTTGACAGAAGAAAAGAATGCTCTATGAAATGGCCTACCTTTCTTCTGAGTAATCAGTTATAGAGGGGCCCTCCAAAGTTCAAAAGGAGCCCCGGTCAGGTGTAATGGGTTACACATTGGGCTGCTAACTTCTAGCTGGACCCCACCAGTATTTCCGAGAGAGAGATGAGGTAGTCTACCCCTGTGAAGCCTCAGAAACCCACAGTTGTGCCCTGGCCTACAGGGTCGGTGTGACTCAGATTCAACTCGATGGCAGCGAGAGAGGACCCAGTTTATGCACATCGGTCGTGTTTAGGCCTTAGATTAAACATGTCTGAGCAGCTGAATCCATCGAAGGTGTGTACCAGAATGTGTAGAGATAGGCAAGTGGCTGCACGAAGACAGAGGCATTGCTCATTTAGCATTCTCCATTCCATCCTATATATAGTGTCCATATTATCCATATTGTTTTCCAAAGTTCAGTACTAATTGATACACGGACAGGAATAAACGAGACATCAATTATTATTATTATTTTTAACTGTCAGAGGTTGAAGATTGGACTTAAAATTAAGCCTACTAGACTTGCTGAGATGTCTCACCTATTTCCCCAATTTTCTGTCAGAGTTGGAAAATAACAGGCTTCCCCTAGAAAGAGAGCCTTCCTCCTCAGAGCCCGTCCCAGGGTTGACTGGAGATGGAGTCCCTGCAGTCTGAGTGGTGGGAAGAGAAAGCTCAGGAATGGTCAGCTCCCAAAGCGTGCAAACTCGGGAATGTCAACAAAGCACCACCACTTCTCCTTTGGACGTAGGGTGTGTCCAAGATCTCGTTCATTGAAATTGTTAGATTTCAGACCTTAGAGTTACAAATTGAGTTTTTCTTTTAGCAAGTACTAAAAGATACAATATGTTGATTTTCTAATTTCTCCAAGGATCCCAGTGGTGTAGTGGTTACCCCTTGGGCTGTGCACCTCAAGGTCAGCAGTTCAAACTCCCTGTAAGGAGTGAAAATTGCAGAAACTCACGGAAGCCGACTTTGTCCTATAGGGTCATTATGCATTGGATCCATGCAGTGGTAATGGGCTTATTTTGATTAAAAAATTTTTATTCATAAGGGTCACGCACATTGAGTATGAATAAGAATTGCTTCATAATGCCTTTCTTTCTCTATGTAATTTGATCTGTTCATGACCAACTTTGTCATAGAGATATTAAGAGAATCTCTATTAGGATTTTAGCTCATAGCAATGATTTGCACACAATATCTGTACAGAATGCTTAATAAATTATTAATTTTATATTAGGTGAAATGCTTCCATTACTCTGGCCAACACAGATTTTGGTACCTCCAATATTAGACTTGTTTCTTGATATATTTGACCTCTAGCCACAGGTCAGTGAGCTGCTCCACAGCAGAAAGATGAGACTTTCTGCTCCATAGAAATACCGAGTCTCTGAAACCTGCAGTAGACCTGTTTCTCTGTCCTATGTGGTTGCTTAATCGACTTAGTCTCACAATTGAATGACTGGTCATGAGTGTGATACAACAGAAATCCAAATATTCTAAAACCCCAAATGGATTTGGCAAAGTTCAACTGCCTTCAGTAACACTGAACTGCTCTAGTCTTATGAGATGGTAACCTGTGCACAGAACCAGTAGAAAATTTAGAATTTTTTTTAAGAAGAAACTGAGAGTCAACCTCACCCTTGAAGCATTTGGCATGAATTATCCATTGCCTTCTAACTATTAACAGGTGTTCTGAAATGTGGACTGCATAATTGGGAGAAGAGAAGTTTATATTTTCAAAATATTTATGGAGACTACAATGGAAACATAGTCTGAACACTCTACATTGCTCTTACACCTTCCATCTAAGGGCCTTCTCAATTTTCTTTTTTTTTCCGTTTTCCACTCCGCTCGAGCTGTGCTCTGGCTTTGCAGTATCCAATTTGTAGTCTCTCTATACACTGCACAGCCTCCCATACACAATAGAAAAACCCACTGCCATCAGTTAGATTCTGTCATAGTGACCCTGCAGGACAGAGAATAATGGCCTTTAAATTTTTTCTGGAAGGCTGTAGAGGGCAGTGGGTTTGAACCACTGACTTTATTTTGGCACCTCAATGTGTAATCAACTATTCATAAGCTTTTCTTTTTATGGTTGTTGGGCTTTTTTGTTGTTGTTGTTTATGTTGTTTTGTTTCGCTTTGTTTGTTTTTGTACTTATTATTGTCTCTACATGCCTTCTACATAAGCTAGGTGGGATAAACAATCCAGGGGAGAAAACAATGGGACCAATGGTTCTGGAGGGGGGGACACAGGAGAGAGGGCAGTCAGGCCAAGGAAGTAGGTGTTAACAAACCCAGGGACAAGGGAATAACAAGTGATCTCAAATTGATGGCAAGGAGGGCATAGGATGCCTGGTAGGCCTTGACCAAGGGCAATGTAACCGTGAGGTATTACTGAAACCTGAATAAAGGCCAAACATGGTAGTGAGACAAGAAGAAAGTAAAAGGAAATAGAGGAAAGAACTAGGAAGCAAAGGGTATTTATTGAGGTCTAAATACAGGCATGTACATATATAAATGTATTTATAAGTAACGATAGGGAAATAGATCTATGTACATATATTTGTATGTTAAGTATCAAGGTAGCAGATGGACATTGGGCCTCTACTAAAGTACACCCTCAATGCAAGAACACTTTGTTGTAACAATCCGGCATTCTGTGATGCACACCTTCCTGACACGATAGCTAAAGACTAGTTGGGTGCATAGCAAATGTGGTGAAGAAAGCTGATGGTGCCCAGCTTTCAAAAGATATAGCATCTGGGTTCTTATAGACTTGAAGACAAACAAGTGGCCATGCTGAGAAGCAACAAAGTCCACCAACCTGTGTGATCATGAGGTGTGGATGGGATCAGGTATCAGGCATCAAAGACCCAGAACAAAAACTCATATCAATATGAATGAAGGGAGTGCGGAGTGGAGACTCAAAGCCCATCTGTAGACAATTAGACATCCCCTTACAGAAGGGTCACAAGGATGAGATGAGCCAGTCAGGGGTGCAGTATAACACCGATGAAACATACAACTTTCCTCTAGTTCTTTAATGCTCGCCCCCACCCACTTTCATGATCCCAATAGTACCTTAAAAATCTGGCTAGACCAGACCATGTACACAGGTACAGATAAGAGCTGGAAACACAGGGAATCCAGGACAGATAAACCCTTAAAGACCAATAATGAGAGTATCTATATGAGGAGGGTAAGGGGATGGTGGGAGGAAAAAGGGGGAACCATTAACAATGATCTACACATAACCCCCTCGCTGGCGGATGGATAACAGAAAAGTGGGTGAAGGAAGATATCGGTCAGTATAAGAAGGAAAAAATAATCATTTATAATTTATCAAGGGTTCATGAAGGAGGGAGGGTGGGGGTAAATGAGGAGCTGATATAAAGGGCTCAAGGAGAAAGCAAATGTTTTGAGAATGATGATGGCAACAGATGTACAAATGTGCTTGACACAATGGATGCATGTATGTATTGTGATAAGAGCTGTATGAGCCCCAAATAAAATGACAATTTAAAAAAAAGAAGAAAAGGGAAAAAAACAACAACCCAGGACTCTAAATTTTCTTTTTTGCCCAATTGGGCTGTGTTATTAAAACAATGAAGATTTAGAAATATTTCATGTCATCATTATTATTAAATTAATAAAATAGTATGCAAATTAGTAAAAAATAATCTCTGATCTGTGAGAGGAATGGAAGGACTGGGTCATTTGCGTTTTCAGAATGGGTTGTAATGCTGTCTTTTGCTTCCCCAGCACTACAGTGGACACTTCTCTGAATGGCTATTTCATTCCTAAGAACACATGCACCTTTATCAACATGTACCAAGTGAATCACGATGAGTGAGTCTCTACAATTATTGAGAAAAATATTGGTTGTTTGTTTCCTATTTATGAATGTGGGAAAGATTTATATTCCTTTTAATCAACTTTATTCCTTCTGTTTCTCCTCTTAAAAGTTAAAAACATGCTCACTTCTCCCACTCCACCTGTAATAGGAAAGGTGATTTCAACATAGACTTGCCCAGAGCAAATCTAATTTTAGGAGAGGGTGCATGGGAGCAGATGTGGACCAAGGCCATTGTGAGGCGACCCTCTGCATAGATCTGACCAGCTGATTTCAGAGGTCCAATCTGAAATCCCACAGGAATCAAGGCACACTCCTGCATCCTTAGAATGTTGTAAAAGAGGAAGCAGGAATTGTTTTTAGCATTTTTAAATCTCTACTTGGAAAACAGGTCAGAAACTACCCATAGTTGGCACTCAATAAAGAGTAGTTAAATAAATGTAGCTAAAAATTTAACTTTATGAAACTTAAAGCTCAAACCATACCAGCTCAAAGCAAACCTCTGCTCCTCAGACAGTATATTCATTTAAAGGGTGCCCCAGGCTGTGAAAGTAAGAAAAATTCTTATCGGAAATCTGTGGAACTCTTCATTTAAAATAATTGCGATTTTCATCAATTTGGGCTCAAGTTATTTTAGTGAAAATAAAGTAACAATCCTACTTCATCTTTTATTACAATGAATTCTATCTTTACATCAAATTGAAGAGTGATAAACATATATAAAACAACAACACATGTAGGGATACTTTTCTTCATTATAATTATATGTGTGTCTATGTATCATGTGGACTAAAAAGTAGGAAACAATGTAATTGAAATCTAATGGAATTTTTTCTGTACATTTTTGAAGCGTGTGTGTGAGAGAAAGAGTAATTCATAAAGAATACTGCAAAATTGAGGAAAATATTTGATGGAAAACAAATTGTTTTATGAAGAACTTGCCAATAATGATTAAGGGACAAAGGAATTTATTTTTAAAACGTTATTTTTGCCTATTTCATACAGAACTATTTGGGATCATCCCAATTCATTTCAACCGGAGAGATTCCTAACCAAAAATGGCGAACTGGATAAAAGTCTTGTTGAGAAAGTCTTGGCATTTGGCATGGGAATCCGGAAGTGTCTGGGAGAAGATGTCGCCCGGAATGAGGTCTTCCTCTTCATCACCACTGTCCTGCAGCAGCTGAAGCTGCAGAAATGCCCAGGAGCCCAGCTGGACCTGACGCCCACCTATGGCTTAGCCATGAAGCCCAAACCATACCAGCTCAAAGCAGAACTCCGCTTTCCAAATTAATTCAGAAAAAGCCATGTTATTAAATTCATTGACACAGCATTTAAAGGGCTCTACTGAGCCTGGTATTAATGAAACAATTTGTCTATCATCCTAAAATGGAGACTGAGACTACATCTCTTCCTCAGAGGTGAACTCTTCCATTATCTATTTCCCGATTACAACCAGAGTAAAAATGTACCCGTCATATTGTGTATTCACAAAGTAGAAATGAATAAGAAGGTTATGGGTGTTATGGTTAAGTTTATAGAGCCACTTGGCTGGGTCATGATTCTTGTTGGTTTGGCAATTATGCAATGATATAATTTGGTAGCTAGGTAGTCCTCCACCATTTTGTGATGTGGTTATTTTGCCACTTCATATAATGCTGATTTTCCCATAATTGAGTTTCCCATAATGACCTGGCCTTGGGGACCTACTCATGTCACTAAGTGATGAGGAGATATGTTTTTTAAAGTGTAGTCGTGCACGCGTTGGGTTTTGACCCGCGTGGTCAGCCATTTGAAACAGCCAGCAGCTTCAAGAGAGGGAGACGGAGCTCTCTACTCAGGTAGAGTTACAGCCTCAGAAACCCACAGGGGCCCCACTGAGAGTCAGCGCTGACTTGGCAGCAAGTTTGGTTTGATTTGGCTTCCTATAATCCTGTTATAGGAAAGAGTTCCTCTTTCACGAAGACAGTTTAAGATAATGGCAAAATGTGATGCAATTCTGTAGTTTTAGGATTGGGAAGACCATGGTGGTTAGTTCAGACATCACTGGGAGTAGGGTGGGAGCGAAAGAAATGACTGACTATGTCAGACCCATGAGGTTATCGATCCTTCCTTATACCACCTTCTAATCGAACAGACATGCTGACAGCTCTTATGAATATAGGGCTCAGAATAGGAACACATTTCTGATAATAGGAACAATTATTTTCAGAGATAGGAAACAGACATATAAAATAAGGGAGTTAACGTACCTAGAATAACAGAATCATTGATGGGGGTAATAGATGAATTGATTTGAATTGAATGGATTTAAAGATTTAGAGAAACTAATAGGAAAATTTTCTCAAAAGACATTTCATACCGATTCTTAATGTTTCCTATATTACAAATCTAAGTTTAAAGGTTAAATTGGTTGTTTTTATATTTCCACATTCTTTTGATATCTACTAAATATATGTTTTCAATTATATTTTGTTCTTCTTTAATAATGAACCGAGGTACGTAAGTGAGCCTGAAATGCACAGCAGAGAATCATGTTTTAAAGCTGTAAGAAGTCAGGGAGAACCCCTCAGTTGCCTAATTCAAGCAGGGAAAGTAGTTAAGGAGGTCCCCTGGTGACATCATGGTTATTATTTGATCTGCTATCAGCAACGTCAGCAGTTCAAAACCACCAGCAGCCGTGTTGGAGAAAGATGGGGCTTTCTACTCTTGGGAAGAGTTCAGTCTCAGAAACTCACGGGGGCAGCACTTCTGTCTCTCCTATAGGGTCTTTATGAGTTGGCAGTGGGTTTTGGCTTGGCTCTCAGTAGTGGCAGCCTTTATGGAAGGAGATAGTACTAGGAACAGGGATGCTAAACAACGTTTTATATTGTTTCCAAATTTATAATTTTCCAAGGATAAATAAACTGAATTATTCTTGGAACAAAACAGATTGAATTTTTGTGTGATCCTATTAAAGCTTTTAAAATTGTTTGTATTCTCCCAGTGTTTCTATTGTCAAGTGAAACGATTGTTACATTTTTGTCATAAAAAACTGCCAAATGCTTTCTGCACTTAACAATAATGGAAATGACTAAAACACTATAGAAATCCTGGTATCTGTTTATCTGGAATTTTCTAAAAAGAATTGTTATGGTTTAAAGTTCTTGTTCTTTCAGTAGTAAGCAAAAATGTGTCTGCATTCTTAATACATTGTTTTGTAAAATACTAATTTGCACTGTGCTCCTAAGGCACAATTAAATAGTGTATGATTGGGCTTTGGTATAATTCAGAGGATTGCATTTTACGTATTTTTAGAAACATGAATAAACTTAAAACAAGAGACTACTTGGAGAGGTTAAATTAGAAAACATTCTTAGTCATTTAATATGGAAAGATGAGATATTTTAATAATATGTATTTACTCTTCCTAAAGTAATAATTTATTTTATAAAATATAATCAAAAGCAACACAGCACACAAACGTATCATAACTACTTGTAATCACGTAAATATTTAAAATGATCATCTTGAAAGTACACAGAGAATTTGTTATGTGGATGAGGTAGTCAATGGAGTCATTGGGCTGGACAAATGGTTGGCAGGTTCAACTGCTAATCAATAGGTTGGCAATGTGAGTCCACCCAGAGGTGCCTGGAGCTAAAAGCCTGATAATCTGCTTTAGAAAAGATCACTCCTACGCAGACACACACCGTCACCCTAAATTGGAATCAGCTCCATAGCAACTTGCTTTATATAACTTACAAGTTGAGAGAATATGAATATGTGCAGACATGGTCATCCAGCATCAGTGAAGTCCTTACGGCCATCATGTATCAGGAAAGCAAGCACCTCCCAGCATTGCACATCTTCAATTTACAAATATAAGTGGATACCTGTAACGTTGGCTTCCTTGTACCTTCATCCTGGTGAGGTTCTTTGTGATATCATGAAAATAAAGACTAATTTTAAAATATTTTCTGCTTCATGAATTCAAATGGCAACCAACTAAGCCTGAGTGGAAATGCGCCTGAAAAGAAAAATTGGCACCAATGTTTATGAAGACCAGAGACTTAAGCACGCGTGAGAATTCTCTGCTTTCTTCCCACTTCAATTTACCAGCCGATGGAATATAGAGCCACTTCACATTAAAAAATAGAAGCGACAGTCATTTTTAAAAGACAATGGAGTATTGGGGGGAAATGACCATCTACACCCTTATTAATTAGACTCTAAAATTAGATGTTTCCAGGTCTCCAGAGTTGTGGATATATGCAAAAAAACAACAGCAGCAAAACATGACTCTACTATGTGCTCCTTAAAATTGGCAGTCGCTAAAGAGAGAATGTTTTATGGTGTCATAAGCTTTAAAAACAAACCAATTATGAGAAACAGGCCAATTAATTTGATATGGAAGAAAAAATATGCAGTAGGTTCTAAACTGATTCTCCATTAACATTAACATTTGGAGAGTAAAAAAAAAAACCACACAAACAGCAAAATCATACTTATTTATAGATCTTCTAGCTTATAAGTTGTTCCCAGAACATACTCTACATAAATTCAGTAAAACTATTCTGAACCAGTAACAGTTAACTCTACACACACATTCAGACTCTCAGCTTTATCTGATTCTCTTGTGAATGGATGCATAGTCCATGGCGACATTTTCCAAATGAAAGGGATGGGCCATAGGATACGCCACCAAAGCATGACAAATGACCAGACAAATGGTGGTCATAAATATTAGCAAAAAGTTTTTTACTTTCTAAGGTGTTGAAATGCATCTGGTGTTATTTTTAGTTGCTCTTGAATGGACTTCAGCTCATGGCAACACCCTGTCCCACAGAACAAACCGTGTCCAGCCTGGCATCATCTTCACGGTCGTTGGATATGCTGAAATGCAGTACTATGGGAACTGCACAGTTTGAGTGTCTGCGATCCTAGGGGATTTTAAAGGGAATGAGAAGCAGTAAGTTCAGCATTAGGTTGGTAACAAAAGGTCCCAAGTTTAACTCCACTGACCATCCTGTAGGAGGAAAATGGAAGGGTCTACTTCCACAAATGTTCTTATGATCGGAGAAACCCTCAGACAGTCTACTCTGTCCGACGGGGTCCCTTGGTGTTGGAATCAACTTGATGACAGTGAATTTGGGGGGAAGGATGACATTTCTGGTACCTTTTCTCATTATTTTAATTTCTATTCTGTTGCCAACTTCTCAAACTAAAAATGCTTTCTGTCTCTAACATGCATTTAAACTAGAAGACCTGGGTATCTTTCAAATCACCCTTTCACTTCTTGTTAAACTCATAGTATTTTAGCATCAGACCCCAGAGTGAAATTACCCTCCCCCACCACCACATCTCTCTCCTAGGACTACATCTCAAGTGAGACACGTCCAGGGTGTCCAGTGAGGTCGGTGAGTTTCTCTCACTCTGTCTGTCTTGCCAGCATGCATTGGCACACATAACCTTGACCCTGTCTCTACCAGATACATTTGTTGCCTGAAGACCTATGTAATTTCTCTTGACCACTCTAATGGACAGAAAGGGACCCAGACCTCTCTCTGCACAGGTTACACCCGAAGGCGGGTGTTGAGATTTATCTATATTTTCATGGCATCACTGAAACTTAGCTATAGTTTGGAACAAAACTGATTCAAAGACTTTGGGATATCAGAAGGCCTACAAGAGGAATAAATAATAATCAGAATAACATTAATGCTCATGTCTTTTCAAGTGCCGTCTAATCCCAGACTGTCCCAGGGCTTCATCCTGAACAGTCCCTGCTCTCTTTGCTCCCCATGAAGAGATCCAGGTCCCTTCTGCCATCCCCAACCCTATCAGTGACCCTCTCCACTTTCTTCACATTCAGAAGCTTGGATGTCTCTCAATGATGGCTTCTCTTAAATAACTAAAAGTGAAAACTTAGGTTTTACTCAGTTCCCACAATGGGACTATCTGCTCCTATAGCTTGACTAGACATTGACTCCATTGGCTGCCAGAAACTGGTATCCTCGTGCTTGTTTATTGTCCACTGCTGTGCTAGAATGAGAGAAACAAACAATCATCTTGATCTGTCCTAGTTCCCTCAAGCCGTTGCCGTTCTCTGTCCCTGCCAAGGAGACGTTGTCGTTAGATGCCTTCTGGTCAGTTCTGACTCTCAGCCACCCTCTGTACAACAGAATGAGACGTTGTTCGGACCTGCCACCCTCAGACCTGTGGCTATGTTTGAGCCACGGTGTCAGTCCATCTTTTTTTTTTTCTTCTTTTTTTAAACATTTTATTAGGGGCTCATACAACGGTTATCCCAATCCATACACACATCAATTGTGTAAAGCG